ATCTTGGAATATGCTTAGCAAATCTGAGGAAGAACAAGAAGGCCAATGCTGCTAGGAAAGACTGAACGCCAATAAATAGAAGACATCAGAGACATGGGTCATGGGACATGATCAAGTTGGATCATGGGACATGATCAAGTTGAGTCTTGGAGGTCAAAATAAACTTGTTTTTGAATAGGATTACCAGTCTTTGCAGGCATTTGAGCAGAGGACAGTGAAATGATCACACATTAGAAGATCACTCTGGATCCTGTTTGAAGAGCTTTGGGGCAGGGAAATCAGTTAAGAGACTCTGAAAATAGTTCAGGCAAGAGACCATGGTGTCAACACACAGTGAAGGCTCCTCCAACTATGTTGCATGTTTTTCAAGAGCCACTGTAGTTAATTTTTTTGTAATTTTCTTCTGGAGCTTGATACAGTATGTGACATATGGTGACATTTAAAAGTATTTTTTGAATTAGTAAGTGAATAACATGACAGAAGACTCAATAAAAATATTGGACCTTCCATCTTATAAGTATGATTAACTAAGACACATGAAAGTGGTGAAAATGGAGACAAAATTTCATAGACTTTTTGAGGTCTTCAGTGGAATGTATAGATTGATTGTATGATGTATAACCTGACACAAAGAAATAGGTCAGATAGAAGGGTTGAAAATAGCTTTTTTCACGTTTAGTTCACTCACATTTTAACACTCAAGCCAGTGTTTAATGCAGTGAAAATATTTGAGTTAAAATAAAATACTGGATAAAGATTTTTTCAAATTTTACAACTAAAAGTAAGTGCTTTCTAGAAATACAGATGAGTGGTATTAATGATTTCACAAAACACATGCACACCACACACACACACACACACACACACACACACAACACAACACACACACCACTCTTGATGGATTATTTAAAAATCTATGTTTTTGCCACTTAAAAAAGGATGTGATGAAAAAATAGGCAAATCACACATTAACTAAGAAACAGTTATCTACATCAATTGCATTTTTTCCTCAACCCCTAGCACAGATGATTAGATTCATAATGAAATGAAATACATAGACATAATTTACCTTTACTTCAGAAATATATTGTCATTTGAAAATATATGCATATGGAAAAACATCAGCTAGATAACTCTTGAACTGCTGTAATGATTATAGACAATGTATATTAAATAATAACTGATATAATTATATATTGTTTTATATTGCATACAAAGAATGTATATTTGAATTATTTTCATTCAACTTTTGTTAATAATGTGAATGAAGATAATCAAAGCATGGTTATCAATTTTGTGATAAAGTACAACTGAAAGGGATAGCTAAACTGTTGAAAGATGAAATTTAGTGTCAGTCAATTCTCAAAGGACATGAAATCAAATATCATGGAATGGCCTGTTTGACACTGGAAAATGCTGATTATCCCCTAATATACCAATAGGCTCAAGACAATCACAAAATTCTAATTTTTTGCGTTTATATACATGTGAAATTTAAAACTGAATCTAAAATTTTAAGGAACTGTGTAATTTAAAAATGATAATACACTGCAAAAGAAGAAGAGCAAGAATGTAGTTCTTTCTTGATGTGCCTCACCAGGTATCAAAAATTATAGTTATATACATAAGCGATTACGGTATCTGCAAAGGGATTTTTACTCACAGAGCAGAATTGAGAACTCAATTAAGAACAAAAATTAAAAAAAAATTAAAATGGAGTCAGCACTTGCGAGCAATAGAGGAAAAAATAAACTTTCTAATAAATGTTGCTATGAATTGATCAGGTTAAAAATTGGACCTCTAACATACATCATATAAAAATGAAGACCAAGTGGATTTAAGACCTAAATGTAAAAGGTAAAATTGTTGAGCTTTTAAAAGACAATAAAGAATATCAGTACACCTATTCTGAAAATAATCCTGAATTTGACTACATGAAAATGAAGAACTATTCATTAAACTGTACATAAAGAAATTTTTAAAAATTGTTTATAAAATGTGAGATATTTTCACCATATACAACAACAAAGGATATATTCCAAAATAAATTAAAGCACCCTAAGGAATAATAAGGAAGAGGAAAAAAATTGAAAATATTAAAAAAAAGATAGGAATTTTCCAAAGGGGAAGAACAAATGACTTATAAGCATAAAAAAAGATCATCCACATTAAAAATTAGTAATATGTAAATTTAAATGAAATAAGGGATTATTATATATCATTAAATTATGGGAGAAAAGATGATATCAAGTACTGATAAGGATGTAGAACAATGGGATTTTATTTCTCATTGACTGCCATGAAGTTGGTATGCCAGTTTTATAAAACAGTTTTTCATGACTTGATAAACTTGACATGCAATTCTACTATTAACCATGTACTCCAAGAAATTATAGTCTGTACCCCAGAACTATTATTACATTAGAGGATAATCACATTTCTTCAGTGTCAAATAGGCCATTCCATGATATTTTATTTCATGTCCTTTGAGAATCGATTGACATTAAATTTCATCTTTCTCATGTACGTAGCAGCGTTACACATGAGAATTGAAATCTGGTAACTACCCAAACGTCCACAAAGAGGAGAATGTTATGGAAAATTACACAGCAAATGGACCAACTATCTTTGCACAAATTGACAGAAATGAATCTCAAAAATAATTTTGAGTGACAGAAGTCACACAATATGATTTAATCTTTAGATAAAATGCTAAAACAGGCAAAATGTTACAATATTCGATTAAGAATAAATATACAGGTGGAAAAAAAACACAGAGAAAAGTAAGAGAGTACACTTAAAATTCAAGTTTTGGAGGGGACACAACGGTACAAATGATCCCTTTTCCTGACCTAGATACAGAATATATTTATATTTTTTTGACTCTCTACTTGCATGTGTATGTGCGTGTATGTATGTGTATATATACACATATGTTTCATTATACTGTTATTTATGATATATTTTACTACATAAAATAATAAATTTTAGTCCACTACATTGACATATATCTTCCAATGACTCATATAACATCTAGCATTTAAAAACACTTAAATTACACAAAGAATTTGTACTTAAAATTTGTCATATTACCAAACTTTTTTGTAGATCAATTTTCTTTGGTCCAGGTGAGGATGAGGATATACAAGCCATGCTTATCAGGAAGTGGAAAGGGTGGTGTGAAGTAGAAATAGACGCAAAGTACTGTGTTGTGTGTTCAAAATTCATTGGTGCAAGCAAGGAGTAGGCACACTAGGGCTTGTGAAAATAGCTTAAAGGGGGTAATAATGACATTTAACATTACCGCGTTTATATGTTCAAATATTTGGCCAGTTACTTTACATATATTACCTTACAGAAATCCTTGCAGAAATTCTGCAAAGTAGAATATTAGAATTCTTATAGAAATTCTATAAACTAGAATATCAGAAGCATAAATTGACTTATCACTTACACAGCTCATGTATGGAAAATCTAGGACTGGGACCTAGGTGTGTTTCTCTTCTGTTGTGCTCTTGTCATTACTCCATATTGCTCAACTAATACTCACTGCCAGACTGTGGGGTATAATGGCCTAGGATCTCTGAATCCAGCCCTGCAAATCATTAACTGTTTGTCCTTAAATAACAGTTAATGAACTCAGAGGAGCTCATTTCTTAAAATTGGGGATAATGATACCTATCTACTAGAATTGTTCAGTGGTTTAAATAAAATACACATGTAAAGCACTGAGTACAGAATACTATTCAATAAATTTTTGATTATGTTATTGTTAACTTTTGGCACCTTCAATGAGTAAAATTATAAGGATATCTCCAAATAACTTCAGCATCTGGGAGTTATAAAGGGAAACAGATGGTTTTATTAACATAGGGTCAGTCAAGCAAAGAGAGGTAAAAGAATTAGAAAAGTGAAGACGCTGGTAAGAAACTCACTTTCATGACCAATCATGGAATAATGGCCAAGGTGGAGAGATTATAAAACCTGAGAGAAATTAATTCTCTCAAAACAGGGAATATCTTTGGGACAAGCTGCTTTAATGACCTGGTGGTGTGGGGATGAGGTTATTTGAAGGAAAGGAATGAAAGCAGACTATAATTAGACCAGCCATATTTGACACAGATCAAGGAACAATTTATAACTCTAGTTGTCTTGTGGGGACGAATTATGGGGAAAGTTGACCAGGAGGCCCTCACATCTTGGCTACTCATAGTTCTGCTGCTAGTTTGACCTAGAACACAGTGATTCAGGGCCGCTCAGAAGACTCTACCGAACAGTAGCTGCCCTATTTCCGCAACATTTGCGCTATGCATAAAAAAGAACTCCTTTGAGGGCTTACTGTCATCTGTTATTCACTTTTACTAGATTTCTACTTATATACCCATCTGAACTCTTGCTTCCTAATTTTTCAGTCCTTCTAGAAGGACCTATTCTTTCCTGTTACTTTGTCCTGTAACTCTGTCCCAGAGTTGGAATTCAGCTACACATGACTGCACTACTTGATTCCCTTTAACCGCCTGTTTGTTTGTCCAAGTACTGCCAACCTCAGGTTCCCACGTGCTGTGATGCTCTGATTTGCTGTACCCGCTGCCAATGCCTGGAAACTGTGGTAAAAGCTAGAAACTTTGCATTGCCCATTAGATGCATTTTAGCTCTAATGAGTGCATTTTTTTTCAAGATAACATAATCTCCCAGGTCAGGTATCATTGATAAGTCCAAAAAGACCATTAAAAATTATTAAAAAGCAACTTGGAGTTATGAAGTACTATGAATCTCTAACATTTTAATGACCTCCACTACAGCTAGTATTGGAAAGCCTATTTATTATGATTTCTCTCTGAAATCTGAAGTCATTCTTGTTGTGTCCATTGGTGACCTCCAATATCCCCAGGTGACGCACTATCTGTGCGCAGAAGAAATACTAGTTAGAAAGCCTTTAAGTGACAAATGAGACACTGCAGTAAGTAAAGTAGCACTTTGGATGACACTGAACTTCATACCTGAGCGCATAGCCTCTTTCTGAATGCTTTCATAGTCATGCCAGTCCTTTCTTCTCAAACCATCTGTCCATGAATAGAATTGCCCATCTCCCAGGCCCAGTGGAAATGTCTGTGGAAAAGGAAAGCATTCAAGCATAAAAAGGAGGCATTTCCTTTTGCATGGTAGGTAAACACAGTCGGGCACATAATAGGCAATCAAAGAATATTTGTTGAATAAGTGATTCCTCTGAGTTTAATGAAAGCAAAGCTATTGCTAGTGACCAGATGAATACACATTTTAAAGGCTTTTTTGAACCTTGAAAATAAGAACATGCCTCTGTGACAAAACCTACCATTTCTTATTTTATTTCATCTAGATAGATTAATAATTTAGTGTGTTATTGCTAAATATAAACATCTAGTTTTTTTTCATTTTTGCCCTAGCTGTAAATATTGGTGAGAATATCAGTTTTGGTGTTAAATTGAATTAATTGTGTTTGGGATTCATACAGTTTTATTCACTTTGATCATGCATATTTGAATGGCTTTATGAAAATATTAGGCACCATTCATTGAATGCTCACTATGTGCCAAGTACTATGTTAAATATTCTGTGTATAGAAAATTGCTTCCGTTTATATAATAGGCTTGAGTTGTAATTCTTCATTTTTCTGCAAAGTAAGCTGGGCCTCAGAGAACTACAATAACTTGAATTCAGCCAGTTCTGTTAAGATCAGAATTATGATCTTAAGAAAGAACAAAATTGTGACCTTAATGACTATTAAATACAGTCTCCCATCTAGATTTCTGCTAAAGGATAGTACATGTTTACATTTAGAGTTGAAATTATTACCTACTCATCTGTAACTGCAGTCACAACACATACTGTATGCTTTTCCAAAACCCAATATGTTATAATATCAACTTGAAAATTATTTCTGTGTACATTGCTGAAGCTACTTCTTTTTTAATGGTGGTGATTTCTGGCAATAAGAAAGAAAATTTGTTTTAAGTAAAATTTTTCTTAACATTATTAATAGTCAATATAATATAATATAAATGTTTTCACACTCACAGACTATTTTTTCTTTTTATTCTGTTGTTTTTAGAATAAGTAATACATCGACTGGGCTCAGTGGCTCAGCCTGTAATCCCAGCACTTTGGGAGGCTGAGGCAAGTGGATTGCCTGAGCCCGAGGGTTTGAGACCCGCCCGGGTAAGTTGGCAAGACCTCGTCTCTACAATAAATCAAAAATTGGCCGGGTGTAGTAGCGCATGCCTGTAATTCCGGCTACTTGGAAGACTGAGGCGGAAGGATCGCCGGAGCCCAGCTGGGCGAGGCTGCGGTGGCCAGGAGTATGCCACTGCACTCCAGTCTGGGCAACAGAGTGAGACTCCAACTCAAAAAAAAAAAAAAGAAAAAGAAATAAGTAATACATCTATAGAATAAAGAAAAAAAATTTTAAAAAGTAGAAAAACAATTTAGGTTAAAAAATGAATAATTTCAGCGAGGTAATTTTATTCTAAGAACCCTTCCAAGACATATAAAAATGTCTTATTTCTTGGTAGACCATGCAGCCATTATGCTTATGAAAAATTATCTACCTTTAGCCCATCTTGATAGCTTATAAAAAATCCACTTTTGTTGAAAGGATAAAATTAGGGCATAATATTTTTCTAAGTAGTTAAAATCAGAGGAAAGATTTTCCATGTCAAGGGAATATAATTTACATATTTTAAGAATGTGTTGCTCATAATGTGGTGAACTCAGAAAAAAAAGCAATGAATATATTACAGTGATAGTAAGTTTATATAAAATATCAAAAATAATGACTATAAATTTGAAAAAGTCAGATGAAAAGAAAAAAGTTATGGAAAAATGGAAATATGCAATTTAAGGACTACATAGCTAACATTACAAAATGTCAAATATTTATTCTAAGTGATGTTGATCTTACAATGAAAGTTTTTTTCCACAACTCAGCTATGCATGGAACATTACACTTAACTAAATATAAAATACACAACCATGTTTTGTCACAGCCATTTACAGTGATAATTATGAGTACTGATGAAAGTCTCCTACCCTGATGTAGATAATACCAAGTACAAACATGACTGTCAGATTAAAATAGGTATTTCCAAAACAAATTTGACATGATACATGAAGATATTCTTGGGTAAACTCCATATGCAAAGATATCTCTAGCTATGGGGTATACCTCATTTCCTTAATTTTGATATATTTAAGGTAGATAATTCTTAGCAATTGGCACTACAGGCAGATTGAAAACAAAAGTTAATCTTCATGCTCTCCATAAAGCAAACAAAAGTACAGTAAAAATATCAGATGCATCAAGAAAGCAGATAGTTGAATTGACAAACTTGTAAGTGTCTGAGAACTACTGGAAAGGAAGCATATATTTTTGCCACTGAATTTTAAAAATATTTAAGATTGGGGTCATCAGGTATTCTGAGGGTGATGTTAAAGGCAAATAGAAAGAGATTACCTTTTTTTTTACAGTAATACAAGGGTAACTTGTTTCTTGTACAGTGCAAAAAGTTCAAAATGTAAATAAGATTATAGATAACAAAGAATAGGTCTAACACTCCCACATGACCTCAAATACCAACAGTTTTTAACTGTTTCTGGTTATAATTATTCTGATACTTTCCTGAAAATCCTAAATAATATGCTTAAAATTCCTCTTTCTAGAGTCATAATTTCACAAAAGTGATTGTCATGTTTCATAAAGGGCAATTAGACTCTCTTGAGTTCTCTTTCCAATACCAACAACAAGGTGATGACTGAGCGTTATCTAATGTATTCCCCACCCACAGAAGAGGGGAGTTTGAATGCAAGAACTATATTTCAGACTACTAGAAATAACTAGTGGGTTTAAAATGGTTAGTATAAAGATGCCAAGCTGCAGTGAACACCAGGGTCCCATGTCAGGCCATATTCCAAATCTGACTAACAAAGCCATTGTCCCTCATTGTCCAGAAAGCTGCTGGCCCAAAGACTGTACCCCTAGATGAGAGATAGATGAGAGATAGAGAATTGGGATCAATAGGAAAGGATATGGGAACTGGCTCCCAGGTCCACAGCCAGCAATGTCATGGGAAATACCCACTGGCAAGACCTTCCTACACATGGAATGCCACATCAGTACTTTCACTACTGCTTTCATAAGCATGACAGGAAGCCAAGGATTACCAGGCATTTCAGAGAGCATTCAACACAAAATTCAGAAGCCAAAAATAAATAAAAGGCATAGCAAACTCAAAAGGAGCAGATGCAATGCAAGTCACAGATGACAACTTCAAAACAAATCTAAATTTAATTTCCTCAAAGAGCTTTAAGAAAATACTCCTCCATAGAAAGAGGAATTTAAAAAGAAAGGAGCATTTAGAGAATCAGAGAAAGCTCTTGAAAAGTAAAAAATATGAGAGCAGGAAAAGAAGAACTGAGAGACAGTTTAGCAAATGTAGGTCAAAGCAACTCTACTAAAAAACAGAAAAACAAAAAAGTTGGTAGAGAAAAAAGAACATTGAAAGGAGGTACAAAATGGTTGCAAGCCCAGAGCTCTCTCAGTTTGACTGCACATTAGGGTGAATGCAACCCCAGAAAGACTGTCTCTGGAACAAATAGACCAACTTACTTATTTTCTATTTTTCTTTTAAAACATAATGAAAGGAGAGCCATAGTTCTCCCAAAGATATTAGGATAAACTAATAATACATATATAAAAAAACCAAGCAAATAAAAAAGCAGATCAATTGATAAGGCTACAAGAAAAAATTATAAAGGGGAGATGGGCAAGATGGTGACAGAGCTGGTCAGAGCATGAGGGTCTCTGCAAAAGTAAGTGTCCATAAAGATTATGCATGAGTGGGAGTGTGCTATTGGGTGAGTGAAAGTCTGTCTGAGGGAGACTCAGTTTCAAGCACCTGGGGCTCTCCTCTGTAGGTGACTGCAACCCACCACTGCCCTGAGATTGGAGCCCCCAGTGCCCAGGATCATTTGCTCTTCTTGGGAGTCTCTTGGGAGGAGGCAGCCGAGATCAGCTACTCCTCAGCACCTGGCACCTGGCCCATGTCACCACCTATGGCAATAGGCCAGGCACTAGCAGCAAGAACTGTGGAGAAGTCACGTTGAGGAAATCTGGAACTGAGCCCACCACTGCTAGTAAGGAGACGCTGATTGCCACCATTGTCTTTGCCCCAGACTGGACAGAGACCTGCATTGTCCCACTCAGCTCTGTCCAACTTCCAACCTTCGACTCAGAGACTATCTAGACACCCCTCTAGGATCAATGATTGGACACAGAGAGACAGATATCCCTTCCCCATGCTAGAACAGGCATAGACACATCTGATCTGAGTAGGAGACTTGGTAGCAGCAGCAGCAGCAGCAGCAGACAAGTTGGGTGAGTCTGGATCTGATTCATCCTCCTCCCACAGCAGTCTGAAGGCCATCTGACCCACACTGAGAGCAACCCCAATCAGCCTGCTCTGAGAGAGGAGAGGACAGATTGGAGACTGGAGCCACAACCTAATACGGTGGTAACCAAAAGCTGTGGCAGTGCTTGAGAAAGTAACCTGAAGTTCCAGAAACAGCAACAAAGGGAGCTCTTTTTTTTCCTTCCTTTCCATATTTGTTTATGCTTTCATACTTGCTTTGCTTTTGTTATTTTATTGTTTTTAAGATTTTCTGTTTGTGTATGGGTTTTGGATTTTTTTTTTTTTTTGAGTTGGAGCGTCATTTTGTCATCCAGGCTGGAGTGCAGTGTCACACTCATGGACACCGCAGTCTCAACTTGCTGGGCTCAGGAGATCCTTGCACCTCGGCCTTCTAAATAGCTGGAACTACAGGCATACACTACCATACCAGGCAATTTTTTTTTATGTATTGTAGAGATGAGGTCTCACCATGTCACCCAGTCTGGTCTCAAACCCGCAGGCTAAGGCAATCCTCTCACCTTGCCCTGCCAAAGTGCTGGGATTATAGGTGTGAGCCACCACACCTGGCTTGTATGGGTATTTTTGAGGGTGAGTACATCAACAGAATTTTTTTTTATTTGTATGATTTTTGTTTTTTTCTTCTTTTGTTTGTTTCATTGTTTA